TCAAAAAAAAAAAAAAAAAGAAATTACTTGTAGCCAGGCGCGGTGGCTCATGCGTAATTCCATCACTTTGGGATCATGAGGTCAGGAGCTTGAGACCAGCCTGACCAACATGGTGAAACTCCATCTCTACTAAAAATACAAAAATTAGCCAATGTGGTAGTACACGCCTGTAATCCCAGCTACTTGGGAGGCAGAGGCAGGAGAATCGCTTGAACCCAGGAGGTGGAGGTTGCAGTAAGCTGAGATTGCGCCATTGTACTCCAGCTTGGGTGAGAGATCGAGACTCCATTTCAAAAAAAAAAAAAAAGAGAGAGAAATTACTTGTAATTCAGGCTCATGCCTGTAATCTGAGAACTTTGGGAGGCCAAAGCAGGTGGATCACCTTAGGTCAGGAGTTTGAGACCAACCTGACCAACATGTGAAACCCCATCTTTACTAAAAATACAAAAATTAGCCGGGCGTGGTGGTGCATGCCTGTAGTCCCAGCTACTGGGAAGGCTGAGGCTGGAGAATTACTTGGACCCAGGAGGCGGAGGTTGCAGTGAGCCGAGATCATGCCATTGCACTCCAGCCTGGGCGACAAGAATGAAACTCCACCTCAAAACAAAAAAAGAAAGAAAAAAATTAGTTGTAATGTTTGCTCTTTTGTTTGTAAAGTGTCTCTTTTTTTTTTTTGGCTTTCAAGAGTTTGACTATTACATGCTTGCGTGGGTGTTCATTTATCCTGCTTGAGATTTTCTGAGCTTTTTGGATTTGTGGGATGTCTTTTCATTAATTTTGCAAACATTTGGCTATGATTATTTGAAATATTTATTCTCTTTCCTTGCTCTAGGAGTCCACTTATTTGTATGTTAGACTGTTTGAAATTATTCCATAGTTCTTAAATGTTCTTTTTCCCCTTTTTTTTTAAATTTTAGATAATTTGTATTTACCGTTTTTGAAATTCACAGATTTTAAAAAATTGTGTTGTCCATCCTGCTGTTAACTTTTTCTTTTTCCTTTATTATAAAATAGAGGTGAGATCTCACCATGTTGCCCAGGCTGATCTCAAACTCCTGGGCTCAAGCAGTTCTCCAGCCTTGGCCTCCGGAAGTGCTGGGATTACTTACAGGCAAGAGCTCCTGTGCCCAGCCATCTACTGTTAATTTTTGAATGAAGTTCTTTATTTCTTATACAGCATTTTTCATTTCTAGCATTTCTGTTTTGATCCTTTTTGGTTTTTTGTTTCCATTTCTGTGCTAAATTTTTCATCTGTTTATACCTGTTTACTTTTTCTACTAGGTTCTTTCACATATTTATTATTGGTATTTTAAAGTTTTTGTCTGATAAATTTATCATCTTGTCCGTGGGTCTCCTTGAATTAATTCTTTTTTTTTTTTTTTTTTTTTTTGAGACAGAGTCTCACTCTGTCGCCCAGGCTGGAATACAGTGGGATGATCTTGGTTCACTGCAACCTTTGCCGCCTGGGTTCAAGCGATTCTCCTGCCTCATCCTCCTGAGTAGCTGATATTATAGGTGCCTGCCACCATGGCCAGCTAATTCTTCTATTTTTAGTAGAGATGGGGTTTCTTGGCCAGGCTGGTCTTGAGCTCCTGACTTTGTGATCCACCCGCCTCAGCCTCCTAAAGTGCTGGGATTACAGGCATGAGCCATCACTCCCAGCCTTATTATTATTATTTTGTTTTTTTGAGACAGAATCCTACTCTTGTTGCCCAGGCTGGAGTGCAGTGGCGCAATCTCTGCTCACTGTAACCTCTGCCTCCCTGGTTCAAGCAATTCTTCTGCCCCAGCCTCCCAAGTAGCTGGGATTATAGACTCGCACTACCATGCCTGGCTAATTTTGTATGTTTATTACAGACGGGGTTTCACCATGTTGGCCAGTCTGATCTCAAACTGACCTTGTGATCTGCCCACCTCAGCCTCCCAAAGTGCTGGGATTACAGGCATGAGCCATTGTGCCCGGCTTAACTTTCTTTATGGATTAAATTTTCCTGCTTCTTTGCATGTTTGTAACTTTTAAAATTATTTACCATAAATTATATATTGAAGAACAGTAAGTAATATTGAAATGAGCTGGATATGGTGCCTCATACCTATAATCACAGCACTTTAGGAGGCTGAGCTGGGAGGCTCACTTGTGGCCAAGAGTTTGATACCAGCCTGGGCAATATAGCAAGACCCTGTCTCTACAAAATTTTTTTAAAAACCTAGCTGGGTATGGTGATGCACATCTGTGGTGCCAGCTACGCAGGCGGCTGAGGTAGGAGGATTGCTTGAGCTCAGGGGATCAAGGCTGCTATGAGCTATGATTGTGCCACTGCACTCCAGCCTGGGCAACAGAAAAAGGCCCTATCTAAAAAAAAAAAATCCTAAAAACTGAAGTGAATGTTTTTTCCAAGGCAGCAGTCCCCAACCTTTTTGGCACCAGGGACTGGTTTTGTGGAAGGCAGTGTTTTCACAGACCAAGGTGGGGGATGTGTGGGATGGTTTATGATGAAACTGTTCACCTCAGATCATCAGACACTAGATTCTCATAATGAGATCCCTCGCATGTGCAGTTCACGTTAGGGTTTACGCTCCTATGAGAATCTAATGCTGCTGATGTGACAGGAGGCAGAGATCAGGTGGTAATGCTCGCTGGCCCATTGCTCACCTCCTGCTGTGTGGCCCTGTTCGTAACAGGGTACGGACCAGTACTGGTCCATGGCCTGGGGGTGGGGACTTCTGTTCTAAGAATGCCCCTTCCTCTGTAAGGCCAGTAATGTGGAGGGCTGATTCCATTTAATCTGCAGTTGAGCTGGGTGTGGACTTTGTTGCAAGTTTAGCTAGATTCAGTTGAACATTGGCTTTAGTGCCTTTGAGACTTTGAATCCAACACTGACAAGATTTTCAGGTCTCTTGCTATGCTTTACTGCCATGATACTAGGTTTTTGGGCCTCTGCAGGATTTCTGCAAGAAACAAAGAAAGGTTGCAAAGCATAGCCTTAGATGCTGGATTGTAACTTGTGTGGCTCTGATTCGGGGTTCTTTGTTTCCTTGTCCCAGGTATTCGTGGAGTGGAGAGCCACTGTTTTTGACCTGCCCTACATCAGAAGTCACCGAACTCCCCGCCTGCAGCCAGTGTGGAGGCCAAAGGATATTTGAGTTTCAGCTTATGCCAGCGCTGGCCAGCATGCTCAAGAGTGCTAATTTAGGTGAGAAGCCCTTTATTAGTTTGAGTTTGTGGATTTCTGGCATTATTTTTATTTTTATTTTTTTT